AGAAAAATTGGGTGTGGGTTTGCGGTACGCTTCCTGAAACCCTCTCCCTATTTCAGACCAAAATCTGTGATTTTCCCTACCCTATTTCAGACCTGACCCTTAAAACAATACCCTATTTCAGACCTGCCTTATAATCAGTTCCCTACGTCAGACCGGTGTTATAAATAGAGAATATTACACGGTGGCGAGAAGATATGAATTTTATGTTCGAGTGGCAAGAACAATATCTCACGAGTGAGCGCAGCGAACGAGTGAGATATTGTTCTTGCCACGAGAACATAAAATTCATATCTTCGAGCTAACGTGTAATATTCTTTTTATTATATAAACATACTGATGACCGCGTTTTTTATGATTTTCCGAAGACTTCCGACCACCTTCCGAAAATTTCTGAAGATTTTTCAAATTGTCCTGAAGACCAGACGAACGTTCCCGAACATTTTCCGAGCATTTCCGAAAATTCCTGAAGATGTCCGAAGATTTCCGAAGATTGCCGAGCACTTTCGAGGAAGACCCTAAGATGTTTCGATGATACACCAACGAATTTAAGTACAATTTAAGAGACAAAGCTGATGTCAGTGAAATTATCGATATCTTCACATGTAAAAATATCGTATTTTTACGTGTGTTCAGATACCACATTTCTCGGTGGTAGAAATCCTTGTAAAACACTGCAGTTTATATAATAAAGGCAATGTTTATACGCTTTTATTAAGTAGCATACAAAACTGTACAAAGTTTCGAGCTTAAAGGGAAATGGTCCTATCGCCTAATGGCGAAGAAGTAGCTCCTTCTAAAAAACATACCCAATGCTAGACTAAAGTGCACAAACCATACCCTATTTTAGACCAAAACGGCTAACAACCATACCCTTTGAAGTCACAGAAACCTATATAGCCTATATAATGGAGTACCCCCCCGGGGGGGGGGGGGAGGGGGCTGATCATACGAAAGCCTAATTCAATAATTGTTTTATTATTCATTCAAAATAATTCCTGCATCGTAACATGCTTATCTCAATCCATGTTGAGTTCCCCTCTTCATTTGGTTGTTATTTCCTCTGCAAATTTAGCATTTAAGGATGCTGCTATTTACGGACACTGGTTATCTGCGCATCGTCTATTTCCTTGTCACAATCACGTGCTAATTGTAGACATTGTGCACTGTTCAAACAATGGCATATTTCTTTGGGTTTAAGTAGCAGAATAGCGTGATATGCTTGATTTTAAGTCAGTATTTTTTCCCCGGTTTGACCCTTGTACTATAATTTTATAGCCATATTAGTAATTTTTTCCGTCTCCTACTACACAAGTTTCACTTCCTTGGCTTTTCGCCGCAGTCGCTGTTCCTACACTTCTTCCTCTTTGTCTGCCTTAGTTTTTATACCAATACAACATGTTTGCGGGAAGTTTTTCGGCCATCTGGTTGATACGGACACCATTAAATCTCAGACCAAGGCCTTGACGTTTATTGACCGAGCAATAGCGAGGTCAATACATCAAGGCCGAGGTCTGAGATCTCTCTGTAACGACCGAAGAACGGACGAGATTAATAAGTTATTTATTATATGGCCTTTTCATTATGGATCCGAGCCTGCGATCAATTAAAACCAACAACTGATCAGAGTATAACTTTAAAAGACACTTCACCTCAATGAGTTGTACACTTGAGCTGGCGATACAGTCAGGTGGCACTGGTCAGCGGATATCCTTTTGACAGCTGTCAATTGACCATAACATGGATGCCCATAAGGATGTCCACTATCACGTTAAACACATCCAGATTGTATATGCTTAGGACACTTCACTAAGAAAACAGCCAATCAGAGGACGCGTACTATTGTAGCCATAATGATATACTTACCGATTTTTCAGCACTTTATTGTATATAATAATATACACGAAAAAATTACTCAATTCTGATTGGCTGAGAAAGGAGTGCAGCTCTTCTGTAACACGAGTGCAAAATGCGTAACACGAGTGCAAACTTGTAACACGAGTGCAAATTACAAATGCTTTCTGATTGGCCGAAAACACAAAAGAAACCAACAAGAACCAATCAGATTAGAGCTGTTTTAACAACACAGATTCAAGAAAATGGCCACGGTTTTCAGCAGACAACGACGGGATTAAATTTTGTAAGCAAAACACCAATAGAAAAGTTAAAAAAAATATGCCAAAAAAACCCGAACACGGTAAAAAGTACGTCTTTCTCGCTAAATGTATTGAAAATGCGTTGCTAAGAGAAAAATACTGTCGACAAAATCGAGGAAAATGAGCCAGAGAAACTAAAAAAAAAGCTTCTCATAACAGACTACGCTAAAGTAAAAAAAATAAAGAACAAAAACGGTTGCAACCACACGTAAACCATGACAGCTACACTCTTCAGGCATTTAAATGAACAAGGATTATTCAATGATAACAACAGGGATTTCAAGTCATGTACGTTATTTGTTGCTCTCTTTGAGTCTTTTGTAGAGCGAAGACCTCTATTAAAACATCCATGTGATGGTCTGTTTTTTTTTTCTACCTCAGTAGCAAACGAAACTGAAAATTTAGACTTCTGGTCCAAACTAAACCAATGGGTGAAAATACCACAACTCACACAATGAAAAGTATCCGTAGCTGGTACTAGCCTTAAAGAAAGTGAGAAAAAAGTTTACGAATCATTGTGCAAGAAAAACAACATGCAGTCATGTGAAGAAAGCAAAGATTGTAAGTGCAGAACATATCCTCAGTGTCACAGGCCACAGAGGTATAAATTTCCTTAACGACTACGATGAAGCCGACGAAGAAGAGCTACGATGAATCTTGCATTAGCCCAAATAAAATAATGAAAACTCCAGCGCTGAGAAAAAGCAAATATTATATTAATACTGACAGTTTCCGACATCACAACAACTGTGGCTCCACTCACCCATCGATAGTAGCGTCGAAAGAAAACAAATTGCCTCCTTCATTTTTGGGTTTTAAATCTCAAAAATTTGTCCATGAATCCAGCTATGATGGGGTCTCAGGAACAGACAATGATAAACAGTCGTTAAAAATCCTTAGAAAGTGTCTTTCATCTTTGGCTGCTCGAAGCGTTCTCCTGATTTAAAAACGGCAGTATACTTCTTGAAAACGCTTCTTGTAAACGCCGAGCTCTCATAATCGAGGATGAATTTAAAAACACTTACTTTTGCTGATTGTTGTAAACCAAGTTATCTTTAACAGGCTGGTGATCATATAAAAAAATCCTTGCACATTTCCAAGTTCTTAGCTGAATGATTTTGAAAGCGTTGGTCTTGAAAAAGTTTGAATTTGACAAAGGTAGTAGTCTGTTTCAGCCAATCAGTTGAATGAACTAAAAACGCGCGCGCTGTCAAAATTTGTTGTTGTAGTTATGTTTTTCGTGTATATCATTAATAAGTAATCACATGATTTTTCTCGTGCAATTTGGAATAAATAAGCACTTGTAAATTTTTCAAAGACCACAAAGTGCACTCGCCCTACGGGCTCGTGCACTTTCGTTAGTCTTTGAAAAATTTACTCGTGCTTATTTATTCCAAATTGCACTCGAAATCATGTGATTACCTATACGTACAATGCAAATTTCACTTATTTCAACAGAAACACATTAGAAACGGTGATAATGCATTTTTAAAATAGAACGTGATCTGCTCGTTGTACTTATCAAAATAAAAGACACCGTTATGACGACATCATAATGGGATTTTATGGCAAGGCATTTGATGATGGTTTGCAGGCCAAGGCGGCAGGTTCCAAGCCTATCTTATTTCCAGCCAATCAGAATTTAGGGCGTTACGGACTATATCATTCTTAGGGGCGCTTTTCCATGTGCTCGCCCCCCTTTCGATCGCTCACCATCACGTTGTTCACATCGCTGGTTTGAACCAATTTTCAGCATTTTGGCCCTTGGTCACGCAATGCAAGGTTTTCAGCGTCCTTCTTACCCAAAAAATGGCTTGATATAAAAATTGCTTTAGTGTTTACTTAATAGTTTTAGTGTTTTTACCGATTTTAGAACAAGAATAGCTAACGAGATGGCATCCGAGTCAGGGTTATGGGCTCCTGTCTGAGTGGAGTTACAAGAATCAGAATTCAAGTTATCGGGGCAAATTTCAATGTACTGATAAAGGGAAAAAAGCCTAGTTCGAGTTAGCGGGGATAAATAAACACCAATGAAATACCAGGTGAGCTTTCGCGCGAAAACTTGATGTCTTCACATGTGAAAATATCACCGTTGCTATGGCTACATAATAAATCGCGCCTTTCACACCAAAAACTATTAAAGTGAAATGGTTTGGTATTTCATTGGTGTTTATATAATAAATAGGACATTACATGGCCGCTTGGAGATACGAAATTTCTCTTCTGGTGTTAAAAAAAATATTTCACCACGCGCCTAGCTCAAAACTTCATTAACCATTTACGTGTAGACTAGGATATTGCCGTCTGGGAATCCGACTCGGCTGATGTCCATAAGGGTACCGACCGCGGTAAGTCCAGCTGTCCCACAATCTTTGGTCGAGGTTTAGCTATAGCATCCCTTAACATTAATAGTCTGTTGTCTCATATTGACGAACTTAGAGTTTTTATGTCCTCTTCAAAAGTTGATATTTTAAATATCAACGAGTCAAAATTAGACTCTACAGTACGTGATGACGAAGTTTACATACCTGGCTTTGAAATAGTCAGAAAAGATCGTAAAATTAACGGAAGGAATGGAGGTGGAGTATGTACATACGTACGCACTAATCTGAACTATCGAATACGTAATGATTTAAATAATGATCTTTTAGAGTCTCTTTTTGTTGAAATCAGTAAGCCACGAAGTACACCATTTCTGGTCGGTACTTGGTATCGACCCCAAGTTCTACACCCAATTTATTTAGTGAATTTGAGAATGTTATTGCTAAAATTGACGCGGAAAATAAGGAATTATATTTACTCGGTGATATCAACTGCAATTTGTTGCCTGAAGCAATTACAGTCAATTCTTCCCATCTGATAAACATTTTCGATATATATGGTCTTAGTCAGTTAATCACTGAACCAACACGTGTCACCCAGAACTCAAAAACATTAATTGATTTATGTATAACGAACTCCCCAGATAAGATTACAAATTCCGGTGTCATTCACCTTGGCATAAGTGATCATTCTCTTTTTTTGTCACGTAAGACTCAATACTGCCGTATTGGCCCTCGCGTGATTGAAACACGGCAATTTAAACACTTTAACAGAGGAAAATTCTTAAGTGACCTCAATCAACTACCTTGGGCCAATGTTGATTTGTATTCTGATCCCAATGAAATGTGGCATGTATGGAAAGAAATGTTTCTTGGCTGCGTCGATAAACACGCACCACTTAAATCCAAAAGAATTCGGAAAAAACGATCTCCATGGATTACTAGAGAGTTACTGAGCAAAATCCGAAAACGAGATTTCCTTAAAAAGAAGGCAATCTCCTCCAATAACCCGGCTATATGGGATCAATTTAGGTGTGCAAGAAATCAGGCAAATAACGCAATTAAACTCGCAAAAAAACTCTATGTTTCTGACAACCTGAAGCCAACAAAGGTAATTTGCGCAAAACATGGAATGTTATCAACGAGCTAACTTCACGTAACAGTGGTAAGTCAACGAATATTTTGGAGATCAAGGTAGATGATAAAATAGCAAGTAACCCTTTGGACATTGCGGAAACTATTAACGATCACTTTACAAACGTTGCGCAAGTATTAGCACAAGATATTCCTGTTGTCGATGTTAATCCTGAGTCTTATTTAAAGCCTACTGACCATTCGTTTTCTCTGCAAATTCCGAGTGTTGATATTGTTTCTAACGTTTTGTCGAAAATTGATGAAAAGAAAGCCACCGGTCTTGATATGATTCCGAGTAAATTGTTGAAAATGGCTGCTAATATCGTCGCACCCTCTCTTACCTCAATATTCTCAAAGTCTATTCTCACTGGGATATATCCAAACGATTGGAAAACAGCCAAAGTGACTCCACTTTTTAAAAAGGGCATTAAATCGGACCCTAACAACTACAGGCCGATATCTGTAATCCCTATAATTTCGAAAGTTTTTGAAAGAATTGTTTATAATCAACTTTTCCATTATCTAGATGATAATAAATTGCTACTAGGTTGCCAATCAGGGTTCCGTTCTCTACATAGTACGCTCACGGCTTTGCTTGAGGCAACAAATGCTTGGTCAGTAAACATCGACAATGGCCTTCTAAATGGCGTTGTCTTTATTGACCTTACTAAGGCATTCGACACCATTGATCATGAGATCATCTTGCGTAAGATGTCGTACTTGGGTGTCGATCAGGCAGCTATAAAATGGTTCTCGTCGTACTTAAGTGGCCGAACCCAAAGATGTAATGTCAGTGGCAAACTATCATCTGCTCGTACCCTCAGTTGCGGCGTGCCGCAGGGTAGCATATTGGGTCCTTTGCTATTTTTAATTTACATTAATGATCTTCCCAACTCCTGCGGGGCGCCGTACCAAGAATGTTTGCCGACGACACCAACCTTACGTTATCTGCTAAGACGTTAACAGAGCTTAAGCTAGCTCTAACCCCTGAATTAAATAACCTTAGCTGTTGGCTGAAAGCTAACAAGCTCAGTCTAAATGTTGCTAAAACAGAGCTAATGATTATTGGATCAAGACAAAGACTATATGCCCAATGTGACGATGTAGAAATCAGAATTGATGACCAAATTATTAAGAGAGTCGATCATACCAAATCCTTGGGTCTTACCATAGCTGCTCAACTCTCTTGGGGTAAACACGTTGAAGAGATTTGCAAGAAAGTCTCTTCAGCTATAGGCGCCCTAAAACGTGTGCGGCCCTTTATATCCAAAAAGAAACTGCAATTCAAATTTATAACGCTTTAATTATGCCTCATTTTGATTACTGCAGCCCCGTCTGGGACTGTTTGAGTGGTTACTTGAGTGATAAGCTCCAAAAATTACAGAATCGTGCAGCCAGAGTTATTACTAAATCACCCTTTGATGCGAGCTCAAACCACCTTCTCTCCACCCTCAGCTGGGAGAGGCTATCTCTTCGACGAAAGAAACAAAAAAGCCGTAATGATGTATAAAACCATGAATGACCTTGCTCCAGAATATCTGCAAAGTCTTTTCTCTCAGCGTCACTCTGCTTACAACTTAAGAAACTCTGAGGGAAGGCTGACCTTGTCCAAACCAAGCACCAATTATTTGAAACGAAGCTTCTCTTACAGCGGGGGCCATGTTATGGAATAACTTGCCCAAAAACTTAAAAAACGCTCCATCCGTTGAGCATTTTAAGCGAAATATCAAGAAGGTAGCTGATATATCGGATTCCCACACGGCAATCATGTAAAGCAGTTGTAATTAGTTTTAGTTTTTAACTTAAGCTTAACTGATGATTTCCCGTGTTTAAATAAAGATTTACTTACTTACTTACTTACTTCACTTGTTCGTTGCGCGCACTCGTGAAATATTTTTCAACAATCGAAGAGAAATTTCGTATCCCCGCGCGGCCATGTAATATCCTCTATTTATCCCAGTTCGTTTGGGGTGGGGGTCAACTGAGTAAAAATGACTACAAAGTGGGGTGAAAACTAAGGGAAATGGGACTTAGTCATTCGAGTTACCGGGGAGTTCGAGTTAGTTCGTTAGTTTATCAGTAGTCTCTAGTCATTGTTGTCAATTTTAGTTCCTTCAGTTCTCTTGTTACTTTTAGTTGTATTTATTTCCTGTAAACATGACCCGCCTAGATTAGCTTAGCTACCCGCGGGCATGTTATAATTTTTCTTTTAAACACAATAAAAAATGTATGAATGTATGTATATGCAAGCGGCAAAGCAGCCTTTCTATCTCGCCTCAGCCTGCGAAAACAGTCGTTTCTCCGCGCTCCTCGCCGCTTGTCTCATCTCGCGTCTCCCTTCTGAAGTACTAACTACACACAAAGTATGAGGGAAGATTTTGTTTGAACATTTCCAATTTTGCTCAATCCTTAGCGACATTCCTTCTTAAAGAAGATCTAAAATCAGCGAGTCGTTTTCGCCTCAAAAAGATTCTAAAAGAATCGGTCATCTCCAAATATTACATTGGTGAACTTTATATGCAGCTAGTTGTGTGTACAGCCGTTGTTTTGTCTTGCTTCTTCGTTTATTCGTTTGAATGTGTATTTGTTTATTTATCACAGCTTAAATATATTCTTTATTTGTGTGTTTTTATTTGCATTTGTTTGCTTATAACAACTTTGATATCTAGTTACTTTTCCTCATGTCGCATTTACTCAGCGCGATTAGCTTTAATTTGCTATTTCTGAGTGGCTGTGCTCTCTTTCTTTCACATTATTATTTCCTTTAAATGACTCTACACTTTTGTATCAAGAGCACGATAAGCATTGTTGTTATTGTTGTTGTTGTTGTTGCTTCTTGTCTAATGAAGTTTTGATCATTTTTAACTATTGTCTGTTTTATGTCAGAATGTCAAAATTACTGGAGTCTGAGCAATGCTGACAGGAATATAATTTATGGAAGGCCCAACCGTCAGTGTGACAGCGGTATCGGCCCTGGATGGTTTCGTTTTGAAGGGTCCGCCGGCACAAGAATGCCAACTTCATGTCCACCTTTTCACAGGTGTAACACTGACTCACCTGGCTGGATGGATGGTAGCCACCCTACAGTAGCAGATGGTCAGGTCAGCAGGCGGGCGTGTTTTTTCCTGGAGTAACTGCTGTCACTGGCCAGTAAACATCACAGTGAGAAATTGTGGTTCATATTATGTGTACTATCTTAGTAGTGCACCTAGCTGTTATCTCCGTTATTGTGGCACTAACTAAAATTAAGGTGCAAGTAAAGTATTACATAATCTATCATTTCAGTTAAGTAGGCTTCATTGTATTAAAGAAAGAAAAGAAAAGGAACTACACTTAACTTCAATATCCGAATTTCTATAACTTAAGAGCGAATGCACAGAAAAATCGAGCAAAATCGGCAAATCGTGGCCACAGCTCAAAACCTAACTTACCCTCATTTTCAGTCAGTCTAATAAGGTTTTAATGAGTTTATAACACTGCTGATGTTTAAATTTCAAAATGCGGCCGAGTTTGGGAATTATTTGAGATTTTCGATTTCAACGGTCAGCGGGCCCTAAAATTAGCCGCCGAACTCGGGAAAATAGCCCAGTGACAGAATTAAGCTGACTTTCATAAACGAGCGAATATATTGGCAACCTTCCACTTAAATCTCAAAAAGCAGATATCTAACAATTTCTGAACGGCACATTTTTTAGATTTAGAGTATAAAATATCGACGAACGAGCAGAATTTTGAAACGTAATTTGCATAATGCTTATAAATACAACAATTTACCGCTAAAACCAAAATCGAATTTTCTATATGGGGGAATTCTCCAAATCACCGCAAATCACGCTTACTACCCAATGAGATATAGTACTTCAACATTATCTGAAAGTTAGTCTGGTGTTCTTGCGAACGCTTGTAAAATAGATTGATTATTTTGAGGTTATTTTGCCCCAAACAACCGCTAATTGACCCCAGGGTCAGTTGACACGCGCACGTCACCTTAGTTTTATGCATCGATTTGAGCTCGTTAAAAGGGAGAAACTAACAAGATTCTTTTAATATGTACCTGTTTTAATGAAATACACGCAATCTTCAAAAGAAGAGGCCGTTCAATGGGTAATTTCTGTTCTTGAGATCTTGTAGATTGCAGCATGGCGTCTGCGAGTGGACCTGAGTCTAGGTCTGTTTTCCCGTGACTGCGAAATCAGAATAACATCAAGAAATAATTCACCCTCGAATCTTCGTAAGTGAATCAGCTTTGCAGTGCCTTACCTGAGATAAAAAGTGGGCCGAATAGCAAAACATTTCTAGCGCAATTCGGGTCCTTTGTGGAACGCAGTGTATTGCTGAGCGAAAGGTGAGTAAACAAACGTGGGAAAGTACGTTACCTTTGATTGCGTGACCAGCCAGTAAACGATAGTCTCCAGCGAAAAATAGGAGTTGCAAAAATCTTGCTGATGTATATTGAACAGTTTGTTACTATAAATTTACACCTGGTTTGTCTAAAACTTTAAACAATGCATATCTGTCCAAGAGTATAAGAATGTTTCGAAAGATCCACCCTTAAAAAACTGTGGGCTACACCTTTTTCACCATCACCGATGTGCACTTCCTTCACATTGTCTTTAGCACGAGGCTTGTATGCCTTTTTAACTGTTATCGACACTTAAAACTGGCCGTTTAAGGCCTGGTTTAAGAACTTGACTGACTTAAAAAACCGTCGCGAATATGCGCTATTATATTATTGTTGGACTTTGGAAGCTTTAAGCCCAAAGTGATGGTGCAATCTCGAGAAATTTGCCCGGGTCTAATTATAAGACAGGG